TGTTCTAGGTTTTGTCTTTTTGTATTTTTTATTTCTATGTTGAGCCTTCTTATTGCAAATTTAATCCTTGATGGTATTGCTGGCTAAAATTGTAAGGCACGATCATTGCAAAATGATTTAGACACATGCATCTATTTGTAGTCACAAAAGTTGTCCTTCCCTGCCACTTTTTTTCTTTTAAATCTCTTATGCACTGTTTCCTTTCTATCCTTATATTAATATCTTTTCACTATTTCCAAATAAACAAGAAAGGTCAGACATGTAGTGCAATTTTGTTACTTCGTGATTCTCATAAATCTTGTATTGATCGGTAATGGTTTTCCTTAAGTATTATTAGGCTTGATTGATAATTCTCATGCTTTACAATTTGTCTGATGGCTCGTCGGCACCCAGCCCCTCCAACGACGCCATCCATTTCCCTGATCAAATCCCAGTTCTCCACCCATCTATCTTCATAACCCAGTTCTCCTCCAAATTCCTCCCTTCCCTCAATCAAACAACCATAACTGCTTGAAGAAGATACTTTTATGAGTTTTTTTGTGTGTTAATTTTCTCTGATTTTCTATATATGTTTGTGAGTATTTTTTGTTGTGGGTTCCAAGTTTTAAATTTGCTATGATTTTTCTAGATATGTGTTTGGTTTTTGGGAATTTTGATTCTGCTGTTTTTTTTTTTGGGGGGTGGGGGGGATTTGGTGAGTTCAGAATTTGGTCTTGTTTGCACAGGGCTGATTTTGGCATGAGTTGGGGCTGTAATTTCAACTTAGGATTGTGGTTTAGGGTTTCTAAGAAATGGATTTAAGCTTGTGGTTGTTGATTCCTTTTTTCAAGAAATTAACAATTCAAGCTTGCCATGGTTGCTGACAGAAACAAATGCTAAGCCTGGAGGGATCAGGGATCGAACTTCATTGGCCATCTACAAATGCTAAGCTTGGTGGGTTTTCTCAGTTTTTCTTACTTTACAAGCTTGATAAATTTCATTTTTAGGTGTTTTGATATTATGAGGAAAAATTATGATTTTTGGTTATAAAACATAGGATTTTGACATTCTGATCAAGTGGAGCTGTTTTTTCTTTAGATTATAGAGCCCCAGTCCCAGAAGATAGAAGTTGTTCTTTATTGTGGACAAGCATGGGTTGTAGCTGTCACTTTTTAAGACATAGTTCTTTCTTTTTCTTAGTTTCCCAGCTGTAGTGGCTGGTCTTATATTGTACAAGCCAAACTTTGATTATGATTTTACGTTAATCAGAATATCTAGATGGTATTCCTCCATGCCATTTCATATTATCTTAGTAGTTTAGCTACATTTTCCCAGGGCACCCTGAAAAGTGGAAGCCAGTTGCTGTGAAGACACTTTCTGCTCGGTCGAAGCAGGGGAGTCTCTGAATTCTTAAATGAGATTATTGCTATATCAAATGTCAGGCATCCAAACCTTGTTGAGTTGATTGGGTGTTGTGTTCAAGGAGCTAATTCTGGCCTTATATTTTGTATCAGACATACCATGTAATTATCTAGTCCTCGTTGAATGAAATTGAGCACAATTATTTAGTTCCCCATTGTTGAGGAAAAATTACTATAAAATCTTTATTTTTTGGTGTAGGGGTGTAAGAATGCGATTCCAGAGCGTCTTGTTCTTTTTTAAAGAGATCACGTTATATACATTCTGTATTGCTTGTATATTGCCCTGGTATTGCATGTATATTATTTCTTCTATATAGCCCTCGTATTGCTTGTTTAGTGCCATTTTAAGAGAATTTGCAGATATTGAAAACAAGAGAGAAAAGGAAGCCAATCAATATATTGTGTCTATATTGCTGATGTATTGCCCTCGTATCACTTTGTTTTTCAAGTCTTTTCGAAAGAAATTATATAGGTGGGAGTATTTAGTTTTTGTGCCCTCTTATTGCCCACGTATTACCCTCTTATTGCCTACGTATTACCCCTATATTGTGGTTGTATTGCAGGCTCGACAGCAGTACAATGGCAATTC